TCTGTGGCTGAAACCGCCTCGGGAAACGGTGTCTGTCTTAGTCACGTACCGAACTGGGGCTGTGGCTTGCTCGGATACCTGTGCCCTGGCTCAACTCCTGGCCCAAACTCGAAGGCAACCTCTGCTTGTCTGAGAGACCCGGCCTCTTTGTCGTCCCCTGGGCCCTTCTGCTTGATGTAGGTTGTGAGGGACGGGGAAAGGGAAGTGCGCGCTCTGCTTCAACCCGCTTTTCTGTGGAGGGGGTGACACTGCCCAACAGAAGGGAGAAGAAAAGCTGTCTCTTCTGCATCTCCCTCCTTGCTAGAGGTGTAAAATCTCCAAAAGTTTTAAAGCCATGGGAGTTAAAAAAATTTTTTTTTTAAGTGTGTGTGGGAAGGGGCAAAATTGAAATAGATGCAGTACTTACATTTCCATCAAACCAAAACTTGTCGTTTGATATTTAACAACATAAAATGTGTCATTTATAGATCTTTTACAGTAAAATGGCCTTCACTGGCATTATGGAATTTAAATACCTTCGTTTTCTACATGCCAAATTACAAATATACCAACGCTAAAGAAAACCCTGCTGGAACGCCGAAAACTGCTGCTCACTGTGCTGTCTCCGCACATCACCGTCATTCCAAAAGAAAAATAAATTGATAGGACTTTTTATCAATGCGTCCATAAATTTCCCAGTTTTTCCAACGAAAGAATCGAACACTATGCAGATTTTGTGAGTAAAACTTGTTTTAAAAAGCATTACACATTTTCCAAGGGAAGAATATTTACAGGATTCCCCCCTCAGTCTTTCTCCAACTTTTCTAGTTTCCCCGTCAGAGTAATTGGGGGGGGGGGGGAGGGGATTTCCTTGCATTTCTCTGGTTTTCCTGAGCTTTCACATCTCTGCTCCTGTGCTGCGTGATGTCCCCTCCTGGAGGGTTTCTGGACTCTCAGCCATGGGAAATTGTGGGCCTAAGAGGAGGAAACCAATGAAAATTGGCTTCGGTCAACCTTAAAAAAACCCTTTGGGGGGGGGGGGTGGATCCAGCCTGCTGAAAACTGACCTGCGAGGGAGAAGGCCAGGCCTTTCTCCTTTACGCACTAGCTTTCTGCACGCGGGGGTTGTTCTGCACGGCGGAGGTATGTGACCTCCCTGACACGTGCAGCCCCAAGTGGTGTAGGTCAGATGCAGGTTGGCCACTTCCTCTGCTGTTGATGACTACAAAGTCTCTGATGGTCTCAAAGCGTTGCCAACTCTGGTTTGGGAAATTCCTGGAGATTTGGGGGCAGAGTTGGGGGGGGGGGGGGGGGGGGGGAAATGCTGCCATAGAGACGACCCTCAGAGGCCGACATTTTCTCCAAGGAACTAATCTCCGGCATTCGGAGATCCATATCGCCATTTTACGTGTTAATCTTTTCTTGCACACACAATAGCTGCTATTTAATTTGTCTGTGCATATATCAGCTCTGCCTTGATTATTGTTGCGGTGCTCTCTGTGATCAAAAGTGTCACTTGCTTTCCGAGTTTTTATGGTATTATTTTGTCAATATATTCTTAAGGAGTGTCCATGGTGGAGGACGGTGCCCGTGGGCGCCACGTCCCCTTGGCACATTTTCTGGTTTTTAAAAAGTGGGTGGGGCTTTTGTCTAGCAGGGCGGCTGTTTGGCCACTGGAGCATTGATGGGCTCTTAGGATTTTTTTTTTTTAAAATGCTGCTCTGGCAGCAGCTGCCGCCGCCACCGCAGAAGGGTCTTAAGTGTGTGACTGAAGGTGGGCCGTGGCAGCCATTTTGTAGCTGGTGTTGCCTTCAGCAGCAGCCGTTTGATAGCAGCTATTCTGTGGCTGCACCGTTCCCCATGGTGTCCGAATTCCAAAGGTGACCCCGGGCTCAAAATAGGCCGGGGATCCCAGGTTTGTGCAGTGAGACGGTCTGAAGCAGTCTATACATGTGCCTGACTTTGAGAAATCGGGATATATGTGTGAGAACAGGGATTGGAAACAAGGGTTTGAATCCTAAGCTTCTCTTCCCCACGCACTCCCCTTACGTATGGTCAGGGGTCATTTTGTAGAAAAAGAGGTGCAGGAGCTCATTAACATAACTCATTAGCATAACTCATTAGCATATGCCACACCCCCTGACATCACCGGAAGTGTGTCAGAAGGCAACACCCACCGCTCAGGCTCCACTGGACTGTTTTGGATTGC